GTTACTGTCACAAGTTTCGCCTTCTGACCCGGCCTCAATGGCTCGAGGATAGCGCTTCGCATAGGTTAACAGTTCAGTTCCTAACAGCTTCCGTGACATGGTTCTGTAGTTTTGATAATTCCGAATTTTCTCTTTGGGCTAGGTAGGATCCAGGGAAACCTCTATTAAGAGAAAAACTTTGGCGGTTTTCTCATCACTTGACGAGCAGCTTCTCGGTTCTTTCTTGCGAAGGGATTTTGTAACATCTCTATGGTACTTCCAGTCTCGACAGGCCAAATCGCTTTGAAAAGTCGCCACGATTCTCAAGTGGTAGTAGAATGCCTAGTGCGTCCCACACAGGGTTTGATGGACACCAAAGACTTCACTTGATGAGCTGGAAATGTAAACAAGGCCCCGTGCTGAAATTGAAACGTGCCTTTCCCCGCGCGGTGTAAAGTGGGCGTTACCAGGATCAGCGGAACTCATGCAACAGAGCTAGCACGTTGGCAAAAGTCATCATCATAAATTATGCCTCATCAAAGGAGCTGTTTACTGATCCTTTGGAGTTCAATAAACAACGACGTCATTCACGTCAATATCAGCTGTAAACATACGTCAGACCCCCTGAGGGGCACGTGTCATTTAAAGTTACAATAAAACATCTCGAAATCCATGATTTACGAAGATCGAAAGTGTGTTGTGAACGTTCTATGTGCACGATTCGCCTACGCCACGAATGGACGAGTTGACGTCATGGGCTTCTAAGAATTCGCCGAGTGCCCGTTACACGAGAGCGTTCGCTCGCATGTGTGTGCCCCATCATCAGCATCATTATGCGTGTGAGTGTGCTTGCACTTTGTGCCCCATGGACGTCAACGATGCCAATGCTGACGATGGCGCCCATCGGTCCGAACGACGAATGAAGGAGATGACCGGGCAGTTTTTCATCAAACATCGTCAGTTCCGCATCATCCGAATCATCCAGACGTCATCGAACTGTCTGACTGAGGAAACGATTAAAGCTTGTTAGGACTCGTCAGTGACAATAACAACTTTCATCATTTAATCAAGGGAAAACCTCGACATGGCGCAGTATGGCGACGGGGGGGGGGGTATTTTGCTTTTACTGCTTCACATCGACGTGTCGACCTATCTAGACAGCCTCTTCTCGAGTTGACAGGTTTTAACATGATGGCTTGACGACCTTGCTCCAGCTTCACAAGAGTTCACAGGTTTCGCCAGAGTGAGACTTGTAAACCGGAACTAAGGAAGCAATGATGGACAAAATGCTCCCCCGTCGCCAAACAGCGCCCCGTGACAGAACCCACAAAAAACCGAGCCTCAGCATCACAAGCTTTATTCATGGTTTTTCCCTCATTTATATCGGGCACTGGTCTCCAGGTAGCTACCCATGGGTGACTCCACACTAGAAGTTTCGCAGCTGTTTGGAGGTGACATGAATTCCAAAGGTCTTCTCCAGTCAGGCTGCGACTGGATGACTTCATATTTTGGTGTACATGAAGGTGATGGGCGAGGGCCAGCTCCTGCTTATCGAGGAACATCTTGGGTATCTTCCGCCCTGGTACTCGTATCCACATCTTCTCTCTGGGCTGCAAAAACTTTGCTGATATGTGACTCGGTCGAAGTGACTTTTTTTGCCCCCCCCCCCCCTGTATAGATCATAAAAGCCATGATATCGAGGGGCAAGTGGCTCGACCTGGGAGCTTTTTCTAGTGGCGGTGATTCGCATCAGTATTTTCTAGCTGGGTGACTCGATATAGTGACATATTGCAACTTTAAATCACATAGGTCTTGTGCGCGACTGTTGCGCACAGGACGCTCTTGCGACGTCGCGTCGCCGCAATAGGCACGTCTTAACCGACATCTCAGGAAACGAGCTAGCCCCAATCGATTGCAAGAATTTCTTTTTATTGTTACTTGTGGCGTTTTGTGGGTCCTTATTTGTTTATTATTATTATTATTATTATTATTATTATTATTATTATTATTATTATTATTATTATTATTATTATTATTATTATTATTATTATTATTATTATTATTATTATTATTATATTGTTATTATTATCACATTATTATTATTATTATTATTATTATTTATTAGTATTATTATTACTGGTCTGTTGCAATGAAAATAAATCGGCTTAAATAAAAAATATCCCGTCGTGTGTCGTACCACCGAGAAGTTATCAGCAGTTGTACTATGCTGTTGGTGATATGCCAGCAATAAGATTCATACGCGAAATTCCAAGAACCCGGGATATGAAATCGAAAAAAAAACACGGAAGAGCATAAACTCCAGACCAATAAAATCTTTTGAAAGACCAAAAAATCAATTATCGATTGCAGCTGGTGCACGAGTGCAACGTGCAACTGGCGTTGTTTCGCAACGCGACACAGGGTATAGGAACGAGTCACGACGGTGCATCTCTCAGAAGGTTAGCCTTTTTCATTGATTTATTGATTTCTTGATGCCAACGCACTTGAGCGGAACCACGCGGCGGCGTCTCGACAGCGTCGAGGCGCCTTTCCTTGCTCAAGGGGTAGGAGAGCGCAGACGACGAGAGTCGCGCGCGACATAGTCTCATCAATGAGAAATGGTCGCGCCTCCGCTGGTTTCCCTCAACAACATTAGCATAAACTTTTTTCTTGATTTTTGCCAATGATCAGAAGTGATATCTTGGCTCTTCAGAGAAGTCGAAACCGCCGGCCGGGCGTGTTTAAAAGCATGTGAAGCCGCCAAGAACTGCGTCCTGCCGCAATTACGGCATGAAGGTGAGTTTGCTTGCAATTTAGCGCCTATTTTTTGCATTAGTCCATCCAAGTCTTAATTTTTAAATTTATTCGATAAGCTGTTTCGAGTAGAGACGGACAAGACAATTGTAATTCGTCGCTTCAATAAGCTGTTTCAAGTAGAGACGGACAAGACAATCGTAATCCGTCGCTCGCGCGGCTGTCGTGCGGCGATGCGGTGCGAATTATCGATGTGCATCAGTTTGTCAATTGGAGCAGCGAAACTCATAACAATTCAAGCGGAAACGAGAAACACCTTGGGCGATATCGGGTT